GTCCCCTCCCCCAAAAGCCCCCTGGCCCTCAGAATCTGTAATGCCTCATGGGTATGGGGAGCCCCAGGAGGCTGTGCAATGCAGCAGCCTCACCTGGCCAGACTGTGAACATCTGGGGCAGCCCAGGATCCTGGGTTCAGTTCCTACCCCACACCCATGAGCAAGTGCAGGAATAAGCACGGCCCATCACTGCACCTGGCAAGGCTGTGGGAAGGGTGAGGCAAGGTCCCCTCTGCCACGTGCCTGCGTGCCCAACTGCCTGCCTGCTCACTCGCTTGCTCTACAGACGCCGCTAGGTGCCTCCTCTGCACCGGGTAGGTGCTCTGCTCTGCAGCCCCCTCCTCCAGAAAAGTGCCATAATCTTTCCTGCTGAGATCCCTTGACATTCCTCACCTTGAGAAGTAATTTAGTCTGGTGCACTGAGTGTTAGAATGTTCAAATATGTGTGTTCAAAAGAACAACAATAATTCACTCATTATTCATGGCAACTAAACACTGTACTGTGCCCTGTCGTAAAGATAGAGACCTTCCCAGCCGATACATTCTTCATACCAACCAGCTCCTCTAAGGAAAGTTAAATTTTTGGGAAACTGAGAGCGGGTTGCCATTTAACAGAAACTTGGTGGTTTGCATAGGTGATCTGAGCATTACCGGGACACAGAGATCCACTGGCTTTGGCCTTTGTGAGAGTAGGTGGTCTAACCACTTTGCTAAACAGCTCTCCCTCCCTGGCAGCTGATCAAAACCACGGGTATATTCTAAACCCCACTGTGGACCTACATGCCCTCAACTAGGTGCTGAGTTGTGAGAGAACAGATGTCTCCAGGAGCTCACAGTCCAGCAGGGAGAAAAGCCTTTGCCTCCTTTTAACCGAAAGCTGAGAAAACAGGCCTTGAGGGGGCCCCTCCGGGTGGCTCCCAGGAGTAGCCTGGGGGGAGCAGGGGCAGGGCCGCAGCAAGTCCTGCTGCAGCCAGGGCCCACCACCAGTCTGGAGCTCCACCTGACTGGGTAGTGAGTCTCATCTCCAGGCAAGAGGCAGCCTTTGCAAGCCCCTTCCCCGTGTCAGTCAGTCACTGGCTGTGGACTGCACTTGTGGGGGACGTGGCATCATTGGCCATTTCTCCTGAGAAGAGTGGGGCCTGCCTTTCTGTCCCTTCCCTCACTCACTCTTGTGCGGGTCTCTGAACAGAGAGCCTGATACTCAGGTGCTGCCTGGGTGCCCCTTGGGCCTGACCTCCTTGTTGTGGCTTTGGCTTGGGGAGGGGATTGGGCAGGCCATCTCTGAGGTCCCAAACAACCAGGAGGTCCAAAGCACCCTATGCACTTCCCACGTGGGGTGGCTCCTTGTGAGAGAAAGTGGGATTTATTTTTCCAGAGAGAGAACGGAGCTGAAGAGCGCTGCCTCCCTGAAGGCAGCCTGGTTGGGGCTTGTCAAAGCTCGCCTCAGGAGCGGTAGGAAACGGCCAGGGAGGCACGGTTAGGGGAAGCCACCTGCAACAGCAGTGGCAGGAAGGCTGAGGGAAGGGCTGGCAGGCACTGTGGGCTCAGCTGGGGCACTGCAGCCCACCCCTCGGAGGCCTCAATTTCCTCTTCCATCGAATTGGGCCATACTGCCTCCACGGCCACTCTTGCTGGAGTCCCCTGAGCTGCTTGAGTCTCTGCTGTCGAGGCTCCTGCCTCTCCCAGCTCATCCTGAGCTCCTTCTGGAACACTCAGTGCACACGTCCCTTCTGCTGGGAGATCCTCAGTTCTCTGCACCTGCTGCTTGCTGCTCCCTCGTCTTCCACAGCAACTTTTCCTAATGACAGACTCCTTCCTTAGGTCGGCTTTTTCTCTGTTTATTTTTTTAACTTACCATCTCAGCTGTGTTTTAAACTGCTCAGTTCAGTAGTTTTAAGTACTTTCACCTTATTGTGCACCCGTCACCACCATCCATTTCCAGAACTTTTTTCTTCTTCCCAAACTGAAACTCAGTCCCCGTAAACACTAATGCCCCCTCCCCCAGCTCCTGACAGCTGCCATTCTACTTTCTGTTTCTGAAATTGACTCCTCTAGGGACCTCATATAAGTAGAATCACAGAATTTTTCCTTTTTGGCTGGCTTATTTTATTTAGCAGACTGTCTTTAAGGTTAATGCATGTTGTAGCATGTGTCAGAGTTTCTTTCCTTTTTAAGGCTGAATAATATTCCATTGTATGGTTAGATCACTTTTTCTTTATCTGTTCATCTGTCAGTGGATACGTGAGTTGCTTCCACCTTTTGGCTACTGTGAATAATACTGCTGAAACATGGGTGTACAGGTATCTGTTCGAGTCCCTGCTTTTAGTTGTTTTGGGTATAAACCCAGAACTGGGGTTGTTAGAGGTCAACATTTTCTGTTTTCAAGGCTGTCTCCCCTACAAGGCTGTGACCTCCATGGGGCTTGGCTCATAGTCTTGGCTCAATATCCCTTATTGAGCATATTCAATAGCTACTTGTTGAACTAATGAATGAATGATGTGAATAAATGAATCCTAATTCCCAGGATTGTCACAGGACCAAATAAGATAATTAAGAGTTCATTGCACAGTATATATCAATAATAATATCAGTTCAACAAACATAGACTGTGCGCATAATGACATGGAGAAAATTTCATTCAGAGAATTCTTCTTAGGGAGGGAATTATCTTTGGCAGAAACACTTTGATAAATTGCATGTGGGAGAGTAAGATCCCTAAGGGAGTCTGCGGCAAGAAAAATGATGGCTGAATTCCTGAGGCAAGGAGAGGAATTGTTCTATCTCCTAAGAGAGGAAGGAAGAGTAATAGAATATGAGAATGGGGATACTGTTAGCAATAGGTGATGTTTATTTAAGGTTTACTATGGGCCAGGACTACTGTTCCATATGCTGCTAATGACAGCCTTGTGCAGTTGGTATTTCTGTTATACCCATCTTACAGATGATGAAACTGAGACCTGGGGAGTTTAAGTAAATTGATCAAAGCTTGTCAGTGGTGGTGCCAGGAGTCAAAGCTGGGCTAAGTCTCTAGAACGTGCCCTTTCAGCTGCCCAGCTCCACTAAGAGGAGAGAACAGAGCTGGTGAGGGGCAGGTCCTACATTTGGGCCGCGGTGCCTTTTGCAATCCCAGAGCCTCAGTTACAGCTGCCAAGCTCTTATATCCTCAGGTGGGGGATTGTCAGTGAGGAAGGGAAGAGGTGGACTAAGTTTATGCTGGTATGGAATGAAGCAAACAGCTCCAGTGGGCTGGAGCTGGTGGCGGAGAAGACCCTGAGCAACTGAGCCCTGAGCATTTGCAGCAGCCATCAGCGGGACTGCGGGCATCCGTCTGTGGGAGAGTTTTTGGGTCTCAGTGTTGGGCTGCGTATGGAGGGCTGTGGGTTCTGGCATTGACAGAGGCGTGGCCCCCACATCGCTTGCCCAGGATGTTTGCTCACTCAGAGTTCATTTCTTCATCCAGCAGTATTCATTGAGCTACTGTTGTGAACGAGGCACTGTCCTAGGCCTCAGGACGAGGTCTCTGTCCTCACTGAGCTTGCAGGCTAGTGGTGAAACCAGACAGTGGGAAGACAGTCACATCTAGTGTGAGCTGCAGGGGGGTGCATATGGGCCTTTGGAGGGCTTCCTGGAGGAAGTGAGGTCTAAGTTGAGACTTAAAGGATGAATAAAGTTAGGAGGGAGAAGAGAGCAGGGAAAAGTGTTTCCAGGCAAAAAGCACAGGATGTGGGATGATATGGAGTCCAGAGAGAGCACATGGTATTCTGGAAGAATTGAAAAAAGTCCAAAATAGCTAGGACTCGGGGGTGGGCAGTGGCTCCCCAGCACCTTGGCTGCCTGCACTTCACCGCCTCGGCCTGCACTCCTGTGCTACCAGCCAGCTGTCTTGGGCAGCCCCTTGTCTGTGCAGCTTTGCGTGGATGCTCATCTGCACCGTGTGGTGGGGGAGATGTGCTCACTGTGCTGGGTGCCTCTAACTCGACACCCCAGCGATCCTGCAGCGAGACCCAGAGCTCCCACTGCATTCCTGGCAGATCCCGCTCCCTCTCTCTCCTGGCTCCCAGTCTCTGCCTGCTCTCCCTCTGCCTGCAGGGGCTTTGTTCACATTTGTCCGAGTCTTGACAGATGTGATATTCAGTGGCTATCTTCAGCAGAACGGTGAGCTTCTCTCCTTTAGGGTTTGTGTCCTCGGGGCTCCCCACCCATCTTGCCTGTTTTGCTGCAGATGCCCTGGCTGTGTTTGCTGAACGGAATTAACGTGCTAAAGGAAGGAGTGTTTTTTCCCCCAACTTTCCCAATCACTAGAGAATGTCAGACACTAAATTTTTCCATTTTGATTGCAACCTAAGTATGGTGGCTTTACTTTATGTAGGAAGAGTGAGAGAGGGTTATAGACCTGTTTCTGAGAACCATATTGGCTGTGTAATATTAGTGCCGGGGAGACTTCTATTTTCTGCATTTCTAAACCTAATTTCTTCATCCACTGATACTTGCTGAGAGACTTTATGACTTCCTCGATTATGAACTTGCTAAAGTGAGCTCTTTATAATAATATGTGTAATTACATCAAGATGTATAACACAGCGAATATGAAACCAGCATGAAACCAGCGTGTCAGGAAACGCAGGGGTCATATTGAACAGTGCACCACAGTTTGCATGTTTTATTAAGGAAAAATAAGCTTCCACTTTACTGTATTTCCCCTAGCAAGATTAGTTGTTGGATTAAAATTATCCCAGTGGATTTCTCCTTCTTACCTAACAGTAGCTTAATTGAACAGATTTTGGGGTAAGAGATGAGAGGCTCTTGATATGTTTATAAGGCCCCTGATCTCCACATACTCAGTGTGATGTCTTAGCAGCTGGTTAGACCATCACTTGAGAAGAGGGAGATTGGTCTTCTGTAGGAGGTTTCCCATCTGGGAGTTGCTGCCTAGAAACTTCTAGAACTTTTCCTGTCCCAGGGGCTCAGCAGGAGCCGAGTTTTCCTTGACTGAGGCCCACCCGTCTCTGCAGCGCAGCGGTGAGGCGAGCGTGGAAGGACTCCTGAACCAGCTCGTGCTGGAGCACCTGCAGCTGGCTCCTCTGCAGTGGGGTGAGTACCTGCTTGGCCGCCACCGATTCTGGGAGAACGTGCTCCTTTTCTCAAAATATGCAAGCTAGTTCTCGCGGGGGTGTGGTTGGGCACACCAAATGATGATGCGTGCATGCTGAAGTTCGTCACAGGAGACTTTGGAGGACAGAGAAGCTCACCATGCTGTGCTGGTGCCCTTGTGCATGGGCGGCCACGGGTACCTGGGCAGGTAGTTCAGCACCCCAGGTGAGTCCAGTCTGCCCACACCTGTGGAAGAGCTGGGTGCCTGTCAAAACACAGATGTGGTTTGGGGGCACAGCAGCTTGAGCTGTACCCTGATGTCCAGTTGCTATAGTGTCAGCCATCTTCTGAAATGGCAATTAACTGTGTCCTGATAGGTGTGTATGCTGCAGGTGTTTACTAAACTGAGAGTGGTTTTGGTTGGCAGGAGAGAACAAGGGTGTGGTTGCTACCTTACTTTACTCTGCTCACCCAGACCAGGCCTTGACAGCTTTTCACCACATCTGTATGGAAATGTGTGTTTCGTAAACCTTAACCTCGCGTTCACCCTAGAAGAGATCACTATTCTTTAACGCTTGGCACAGTTTGCACCCTGTTGCACCTAGGAACTTTTACCCTAGTCTGTACCTTTCTAAATAGAACTTACAGATATTTTGCTGAGAAACAAAGTTAATATTGCTGTTGCAGTGAGAGTCTTTGTTGTTCTCTGGAAGGTATTTGATCAGATAATCTGTTTTGGATCAACAGCAAACAATCAGTTGGTAACAAACATATATCTTCCTTCTTCCTCTTCTTACCCAAGAGCTCGTTGTAAATGAGCATCTCCTCTTTGATTGCACATCCAGTTCATTAATAAACTTGATCTGCCCCTTTTGCATGCTAGACACACATGGTAATTATCCTGGGGGACTGAAGATAGAAATAAGCCTTTCTCTGTGTATTCCACTGTCCCTCTTCAGCCTGAGACCTCTCACCCTGTAGGGTCTGCTCCTGCATGCTGGCTGCTCCCAGGGGAAAGCTGTTGAGCCCCGAATGGGTGTGCATTTTATACTTGGGCCTTTTCCTCCTCACTGGCCCAGCCTGTGTGGAAGGAAGGGCTGGGTGTTTCTGCAGAGGGTGTCACAGTTTGGCCCTGTAGGCTTCCCTGTTGCCCAGACACTTTTGTAGGTTGGCATGTCCTGTCTCCTGATTACCTGGGCACAGTCAGCTACTTCTACCAGATTCAGGCAGCTGAGGAGGGTCAGACACCTGGACCGTCCTGGACACAGATCTGGGATATGCCCCAGGGAACCAGCCCTACTTCTGTCTGTAGCCATAGGAGATGCCCTCTGGCAGGTAAGCCGGACTTTCCTAGGGCAGGTGAGTGAATGGCAGGTCACAGGCAGCACAGGGCCTAGGAGCAAAAAGCAGAGTGACTTGGGGGTGGGGAGGTGGGTAGCAGGGCACTGTTTCAGGTAGACTATAAGTAAGAGGAGGGTCTGGAGAGGCACAGGACTGAGAAGGAGGAGCTCAGATTATTGAGCATCTCCTGTCCCGGGTGTTTTGCATGAGTGATGCCATTTACTTCTTGCCACAGTCCCATGAGAGAGGGTTATCACCACCATTGACAAACAGGAAAACTGAGGCTCAGAGGTCAGCACTTGCCCTCAGGGCTCTAGGGTAAGCAGAGCTGGGAGCATGTTAAAAGCCACCATGCCTTACCCACCCAGGGAGGAACCTTAGCCCCAGCCCTGCCTGAAAACCAGCAGGGCTAGAAGAAGACAGGCAACATGGGGGTTTCAGATGAAGAAGAGGTTTAATACTTAACAATAATAAAGGTCTTTTCTGCTCATTTTGCCCTCTTCCCTGGGTGTACTAAGAACACCCTTTAAAAATTTATAATAGTGGGGAAATTAGGGAGAAAAATGGACAATTAGAGCCAGGACTGGGAAGTTAGGCTGTCCCTGGGATGCCCGTCAGTGCAGAACAGCCCGGAAGCTGAGCAGGCACGCGTGGGCAGAGGCACCTGCTGAGAGGCCCGAAGACTGTGGGCCAGGCCCAAACACTGCTATCTTATGCTGCTGCCTCTGTCTCTCACCCTAATTTTCTTCCCCTTTTTTTCACAGGCGAGTTTAGGAAGTTCTTTTGGAAATGTAGCCCTGTCCAATGGCCTTTCAGGATCAGGCAACCCTGGGTTCAAATCTTAGCTCTGTCATGTATTAGCTGTGTGACCTTTGGCAATCATTTAACCTGTCTGAGCCTGATTGTCCTCATTTATGGAATGGGGGTAATAATGCCTGCTGTGTGAGTTACTAAGAGGGTCACATGAAATGATGTCTACAAAGTGCCTAGTGCAGTCCCTGCCTCACTGCTCCATCGTTTCCTCCAAAGCTTGTGCCTGTCTCCTTATCCCCTGACCCCCAATAGGCAACGTGGGCTGGTGGTGGGACTGGACATGCTCAGATGCATGCTGGGCCTCTGACGGTCGGGTTCAGTGCAGGGCGATGTTTCACTGATGCCAGTGACCTTGATTCATCACAGCCTCTGAGAGAAGAGGTTAGGGGGTGGGGATGGGGGAGAGAAGAGAGCCGTAGTTTTAACTGCATTCATATCTGAAAGCAAGTGTCTTTGACATCGTACTTTCAGTTACCTGCATGGTGTGTTAGAGGCTGTTGGGGAGTCAGTGGAGCTGGATGTAGGTTTCAGTTCTGCCACATGCTGGGGAGTCACCTGGACAGATTGTGCATGTCTCTCTTTTTTTTTTTTTTATAAAGATGACCAGTAAGGGTGTTAGGCAATTATGTTTTAGCCGATGTCTAAGATGGTGGCAGGCGGACTGGAGGAACACCCAAAGTGGCTGCAGAGAGTTTCAGGTCCCTAGAACGGCATATTTTCCGAGAATCACAAAAATACCCCTTCCCCTTCTTCCTCACCACCACATCCCCTTCCTGTGCGTGCGAATTTCTCCACCTATGAGAAAGTCCCAGCTCAGCCTAAACCCCGCCTGCTTCCCTCCCCTTCCTCCTTAGCCAATAGGAACAGTCCAGCTCCGCCTAACTGGATATAAAAGGCCCACCCTGACTCTCCCTGCTGCTGCTCCCACTTCCGAGAGGGCAGCCCAATTGTTCATTTTGCCTGCCTAATACACTTCGGTTGAGTCCCTGTCTCCTGGTGTGTTTCTTTTGCACTTGGTCTGGGTTTTTTCCTTTCAAAGGGGATCTTAACCCTTGACTTGGTGTTGTCAGCACCACACTCTCCCAAGCGAGCTAACCGGTCATCCCTATGTAGGGATCCCAACTTGTGCCCTTGGTGGTATCAGCACAACACTCTCCCATGTGAGCCATGGGCCAGCCCTAGATTGTGCATATCTCTGAGCCTCTGTTTCCCCATCACAAGGTGGCACAGGCATTTCTTATGGCAACCTCATGGTGCTTGCTGCTCTGAGGATCAGAATCAAAGTGAAATGACATTTATCAATGTGTCTGCAAACCATAAATCCCTACTGACTGTAGAGCAAAGATTTATTATAATCACTTATGTTTTAAAAGCTACAGAGTCTTTTATATGGATATTGCTGTTGTTCATGAAGATCAGCTCAGTTCTAACAGCCAGGTGTCTGAGCCTTGGTGTGATAAACTTTCAGAGGGGCCCTCTGTGAATTCATTCTCTTCACTCTCAATATCCCCCCAGCCCTGCCCCGGGGGCCGGGCCAGCAGGTGTACTCACTGGTATCTATATGGGGCTGAGCCACCTTCAGAGGGAAGTCCCAGGGAGCCACCCCTAGACAGTCACTCTCCCCAGCCGTCTGGTAGATGGTGAGCAGGGGTGGGAGGGAAGGGGGCCTGGTAAGTGCAGCTGGATGGAAGTGTGGCGCCGTCGTGAACAGAGGGTGTGTTTTCCCCATGGCCAGTAAATCAGAGTTGGCTCAAGAGTTGACATCTTTTGCTGTCTCTGATCTTGGAGAGTTTGAGAAGATTGTTTTGGCATCCCATTTGCATGGCAGAGAAAGATGGTTTGCAGTTTGGATGCCAACTCTTTTTTTTTATAACTGTAGGAAGTTCAAAGTGCCTATGTTAGGACTGTGGTTTGAGGCTCAGTGCGTTGGAAATCTAAGGCCTATTTCCAGATATGACTTGACTTCTTTGTCAGGAGACCAGGGTAGGCTCCTCTGCCTTCACCTAACCCATCTGTTGGTTTGTAGGACATGATAAAACCCACTTCACCAAGCTATCGGGTGGCTCAGATGGTGTAAATAGTGGATGGGAAGCGCTTACCACGTATGAGGTGCTCTGCAAGTAGTTGTTGAATGAATGGACTTATGAACTGTTCAACGACTGACAGTGTGATCAACTTTTGTTATATTAGTAGGATTTGAAGACAAAACCCTTCTGGATCTAAAGTAAGTTGATTTCTTTAGAAAGGCTAATAAAAATGAAGCGAAACTTTTATTAATGTATTGTGTTGTTAAAAGAAATAAATTCCTCAAAGAAGGAGTACTCCTCTGCTGTGTGCCCTGGAGGGGGTCTGTGGAGGTCCCTCCTGCCAGGGACCACTGGGAGGGGTCCCAGGAGGGATGAGGTTCCGTCTGCTGCACGTGCATGGTATCTGCAGAGTGTTTTCCTTTGCTGTTTGGAAATTGGTAATGTTTGGTACAGCTGCTGTGGACATGGTTCACTTGCTCACCGGCATGTTGTCGAATAATCCAAGTGCTGATACTTCTATCCTAGAGGAGGCGCATGGCTGTTTGAAAGTGCTGTAAGACCTGAAGGACATTTCTGCTGGGTGGCCAGCAGCCTCATCCCTGCGGGAGACCAGCCATGAGCACCCACCCTGTACCTCGGTCTCTGGAGCATCCTGCCGAGGCCTAGTCCCTGTCCTCATGGCATGAAATAGTCTCCAGAAACAGTGCATAACGTTCTCCTGTTTGCAGTGTCGTGATGTTTTCAACTGTTCTCACATATGGTTGTTTCCAACGAGCATCTTTATACACAAGTTTCGGTTTAATTTTCTGACTAGACCAG